AAGAGAAAGAAAGAGAGAAAGAGAGAGAGAGAGAGAGAGAGAGAGAGAGAGAGAGAGAGAGAAAGAAAGAGTGAAATTGAGGGAGGGAGGGAGAGAAAGAAATAGACAGGAAAATTGAGGAAAGGAGAAAAGAAGAGAGAAAGAGAGAGAGGAGAGAAATTGAAGAAGGGAGAAAGAGAAAGAGAAAGGGAAATTTAGGGAGGAGGAGGGAGAGAGATTAATGCTTGACTAAACATAGATCACAAGGAATATCTTGAAAACAGCTAACAGCTCTCCTCCTTGTGATGAATAGAATACAAAGAAATTTTGAGTATGATGGAAACAAGAGGAGGTGTGTTAGCCTGTTAATTTGATTGCATTCAGCGAGAGTCCCCTTGGAGTATGTCTATTGAGACTTAACTTATACTGAAAGCCCCGGAACAACAAGGCCATGCATTGACCAAAGAAGATGCAAGCTTTAGATGCTTGAAATAATTTAAATCCAGGATCAAAGTGATTTAACTTGCAAGCTAGCTGGTTAAGTAGGGTTATATAGCTTGATATTCAAAAATGATTGCAACCATTTACTTTAATGATGATAATAGTTCTGTACCACAGTTTCTGCTGCAAAACCACTAACTGCATTGCACTGCGACAAATTCATGGTTGTATAATAGTGCATTCCCAGAGATTTAGATCGATCTTACTAGAACGACCTAACTCCCTGGGGGTTCACGCTAAATTGCAGTCAGCCAACCACGCACAGAAGTTAATTACCCCCGTACAGCTTGTAGTAGGCTGGACAGACATCTAAGCTGGATTATTTGACAGTAATCTAGTGAGACTCCCACGGGGATAGATCGATCTAAAATCTATGGGAATGCACCCTAAGAGTCTTTACAGGGTTGTATAAAACTTAAAATGAAAATTACATCTGACCAAATCATCCAAAATCATTTCACTGGTTTCTGTAACTGTATTAAATGATCTGCTAATACACATCAGTGGTAATAAAGAGGAACCACCACGCTGAAAAATTTGCTCTTCAATTGTGAATTATCTTTGAAAAAATGCAAGGTAAATCAAGACCTAGCTGAAATAATCTACTCTTCAGCATATTAATAGCAGTCGAGCCTTTTAGCACGTAAATCAGTGGTCATTATGGCGACCAAACAGGATGAATTATTCTAAAACAAAAAAACCACATATTGGGTTACATATCATAAACAAGTTCAGATGGGAGGGGAAATCAAGAAACTGCATGTCGCCAAGAGGGGATTCTTGCTAAATTGCAATCAACTTATGTGGCTGAAATGACTGTCATGCCTACTGAAGTTGCTAGGAGTAATTAATTATTGTTTAGCAGCTTCATAGGTATGCCAGATATCTAGGCCACTTAAGCTGAAAGCAATTTTATGAGAAACCCATCAGAGATGGATTGATCCTTTTAGATCGATCTAAGTATGGGAGCCCAGTCATATTGATACTGCTGTAGTTTGCTGTGAATTATGTAAGTGTTACTGAACAAAAAAAAAAAATACAAATGGTAAATGGGTGGAGACAGAAAGGGGAAGTGAGTGGGTGGGTGGGTGGGTGGGCTATATTGGTAAATATATGAGTGCCGCGGTGGAGAATGGGTGCATGAACAGTTTGGGTGGACCCTAAGCCTAGTATGCATTACATCCTTTCAAGTACTACCCATAATTTTAAGTTTTGACAAGATTATTAAGGAACATGTATAAAACACATTCTCTTGTCACATCCAAGCACAATGGAAAGAGAGAGAGAGAGAGAGAGAGAGAGAGAGAGAGATGAAATGTAGCAATGATGAAACAGTTACCGCTTCACTTCTTCAGCTTTTTACCCTTAACATTAATTTACCCTTGAATAAAACAAAGTTGAGATACAATCAACATTCTTGACATTGGTATAGAAGTAGTTCAAGAAACCCTCTCCTCCTCAAAAAAATGACCATGTTCAATAAACAACCCTATACTGATACAGTTGAATTGTTAAAATTCATAACATGCAATATAAGAGGGCCTTAAGACCAACCTTAAACAATTGGAAATGGGTGGCAGGGCATGGCGGGTGGATGGGGGATACATCTTGTACCGGCACGTGCAAATGAAGAAACAGAAAAAAAATTACATGTATGTCATAAGGATGAAAAAAAAGTCCGTTCAAGTTGTCCTCGTTTCAATCTCTTGTTGTTCTCCCTCCATCAGAAACAACCTGGCATGACAAGACAAGGTTGTGTAACATCCGTAGACAAGGTCTGCAAATCAGGATGGAATGGCGTGCATGTCACATCATCATTATCCTCATGTCAAGATTATTCGTCTACTTGAAGCTGAACTTAATGGACCCCAATTTGACAGGAGATTTTTCCACACTAAGGACAGAAGTACTAATTGCAATTAAAACAGGGTCGCATAGCATGTTGTTCAAGCAATGATATTCAGTTTTTTTCTTTCTTTTTTCTCGACCGTTAACAACTTGCTATTCCTGCTCCCCCCCTCCCCCCTTACCAGTCTGTCAGATTCAGAATTATTTTATGCCACTTGTCTCAAAAAACCAAAAATGAAGCATTTTCATTCAACTGTTACTGTTTTTTGAATCCTTGCTAGACTTTTTTTTTACAAACCAAACTCGAAACATTAAAAAGAAAGTGTCATGCAGATCCCTTTCAAATACACACGGCAATAGTTATAAAACTGTTTTTGTAAGTTGGCTCATTTGTGACATATGTTCAGATCCTATAAAAGGCAAAAAAAAAAAAAAAAAAAATTTTTTTTGAATAAGATACTAAATTATACAAAGGCATAAAAAAGAGGAAAATAGGAACATAAGTATAAGGAGTATAGTGCAGTACAAACCAAGTACAAATCAGCAGTATTTATAGCCCGCCCATCTTTATTAACCCCAAGTTAGTCTTTGTCGGTTTCGCATGGGTGCAGCATACTTCCATTTCCAACTGTTTTATTACAGAACCAGCAGACCATTACGATAAACATGCTCCTCGGCCCATTAACTGTGGTCGAAATTTCTAGTTAAATGCACATAATGAACATTAATGGTATCCTGGCTTTTTGTCTCAATTAAGTTGTTTCTTTGAATAATTAATTTTTTTCTCCATGAGTTTTGTGCTGGAAGTTTAAGAGATACTGTTATTTATTATTTTATTTCTTCCTTTTTCAAAACTCATTCTTTAACTTCTACAGAGTAATATAATCTTTAAAAATTGTCTTATTTTTCATCTATTTTTTCCCCATTCCACCTTCTGTAATATATTTTTATTACTCTAGGGAGTTTTTAGTATCAAATTTCAGCACCAAAGAATTATCTTGTTCAAGTTCCACAGTATGTAAGTAAACCATTAGGTTTACATAAAAAAGGTGAAAGCTAATGGCAGTTAGAGTTTAATCTCAATAATGCACAAGCAGAGGGGGGCAATTGTATGTAATAATTGTGATTAATAGCCTTTATGTTACTTAAATATATCAT